TACTCAGCTTCCTCCAAACTTCATATCTGGGCCAATCAGTCTCCAAAATGTCCAGTCGGAGAAGAGAAAGGGGCACAAGTAATAATAATAACTGCTGTCGTCACTCATTCTAGTAGCTGTGTAGAGAGTACTGTGCTCAGTATTTCACATGCATTATTTTATTTAATCCTTCCAAAACATCTGTATAGTATACCCTATTATTTATCAACCCATTTCACAGAACCTCCTATTAGAGGGTATTGAAAAGGAGATCTGAACCCACTTTTGTCTGACTTCAAAGGTAGGGCTCCTACCTCTTCACTAAGCTTAAGTCACATCAAGTAGACTCTTTGATGTGTTTCTTCTACTGCCCCCCTCCCCCAACCTGACTTCCCCACGCGAAGCAGCTGCCTCTTAGCAGCTGAGACAAAGAGCTTGCTTCATTCTGTCCAGCATAAAGAAACTGCCTATCGCTCTTCCTGTGTCAGGAGGTAATGAGCATGTGCATCCTGATTTATCATGGTAGGGAGCCAGTGGGCCTGCAATTAGACACAGCAAGATTCGCCTTAGGTAAGCATCACCAGTCCCAAGCATTAGGGCATAGAGAAAAAAACAAAACAAAACAAAACAACTTGATTCTGCAATTGTCTCATGCAGTAACAATGGTGCCGGAAGAGCCCCTTGGAGAAAGGACTCACTGATATTTTCTGGCCTAAATCATGAGCGATATAACAATGAAGGCTGCAGCTGGCTGGGATTCTTCAGAATTCAATTTCTTGTGGTCGTTAGATTTTTTTTTAGGGTAATCACTGATTCGCGGGGCAGGGGGCGTGGTCTCTCTGATTAGAGGCCAGAGAAATCACCAGCGCTGAGCCCACTTTGAACAAAGACCAGTGACTCGCACTTACCTCTGCAGGCCACGGCTTCTCGTCTCTGGATAAGGAGGAAAATCATTTCGCGTGTGCGGGGGGCGGGGGGGGGGCGAGGGGGGAACACATTGTGCTGAGAGTCAAAGTTTCTCTTGCGGAAAATCTTTCTAAATTTTGTTGATTCTCCTTCTCTGCTTGCAGGCAGCCCGGGTGAGCTGGATTTCTGGTACTTTCTCTGAGCGTCTCCATTCTCACCACAGGGCTTGGGTCCAGAGATGCTTAGGCTCCATACCTGGAATTCTGCCTAATTTGTCCCCTTCTCCTGAACCTGCCAACTCATCTCTCAGCAGAGAACCAGACCCTGGGTTTCCCTAAGCCTCACTGTACCCAGGTGCAAAAGGGGGTTAATCACAACATCTCTATCAAGGAGTCGATAAAAGGGTGAAACAAAATGTCCTAATGGTGAACATTTCGTAGTATTTACTCTGTGCCAGGCTCTCTTCTAAGCGCTTTACTCATATTAACTCATCGAATCCCTGCAACAACCCTACATGAGAGAGGAGTATTTTTAGCCGCATTTCATCTATTCCAAGAGGCACATTTTCTTTCCACGTTTCAACACCTCTGAAACTGGGGCACGTCATTGAAACAGGTTATAGTTTAATCAGTAGAGTTTTCTTTCTTAGTCGCACAGAGAAATCGTGATGCATCTGGAAATGAAAGTTGTCTTAGATTAGACGAAATGTGGTAAGCCTGTTTTGCAGATGAGGAAACTGAGGCACAGAGAAGAACTGATTTCCTCAAGGCCACAAGCCTAGTTAAGTGGCAGAGGTGGGGTTTGAACCCACAGAGTTTGCTGAAGAATCTGCTCTTTTAATCGCTACAGTAGGATATGAGCAAAGCACCCGGTATGGTTCCTGGCTGTTTTAGGGTCTGTGCAAATTAGGGGAGCTCCTTTCTGTCCTGTTTTTAATGACAGTGAGTTAGAAACCTCAGGTACCAGGAGACAGAGCTTGTATAAGGGGTTCCACAACTTTACGGGTTTTTGCCAAATCCCATTTCTGCATTTCCATTCTAGAATATGGAGGGGGTGTTCTAAGTGGCCTCTTCTTTTGATCTTTCCAAGGAAGAAAATGTGGGTCCTTGATATCCATATGTGCCCAGCTCCCTCCCTTCCCTGTAGCGAATCCCGTTAGACTTCTCTTTTGCTTCCTTGGGAAACAAAAAGAGAAAGAGCTCCCTGACAGATTAGGGAGCCGGAGCCCCACAGAGGCTTTCCTCAAGAGAAGATGTTCTAGCACTGGATTTGCATATATTATTCATATTCCTTCCTTCAGGAAAAAACTACGTGAAGACGTTGTACGAGGCAGTTGTACTAGGCAGGGTGCCATTGTAACATGAGTGATGATCTCGCAACTTTCCTCCCTGTGAGAAGGAAAGTGGCTAGTTTCAGAAGACTTCAGGACCCATCGGGAGATTTTCCTCAAGTGTCGCCTTTAGACTAGTGCGTGGTGGACTCATAGTAAGTGGCATTACCATGCAGCCAAGTGTGGCCTCACCCTCATCCCCTGAAAGTCCAGACTATTTCCCCAGAATGATTCTCATTGGACAGTTACCTGGTTACCTGGCTGCCTGCCATTTTTTTTTTTTATATGTCACTTTTCTCCCTTCCTAAACAAACATAAAAACTATTTGAAGCCAGCGATTGTGCCTCGTACCTTCTTTTTGTATCCCGCATGGTGCATGCTAAGCGCTATCACCGCTTGATTAGCATGGCGAGGCAGAGAGGGCTTGAGCTCTGGAGCCAGACAGACTGGAGTTCAAATCCCTGCTCTCTTCCTTGGGGGCTGGATGTCCCTGGGTTAGGGACCTGTCCTCACTGAACCTCTGTGTTGTCACCTAGCTCATGAGGAGGTAGCAGTTCATACCGTGAAGTATTGCAGAAGGTGTTGAAATAGCACACACAAAGACTCTTGCTCAGAACCTGGCACGTGGTGAATACTCAATTAGGCCAACTGTCACCATTGTTATTACTACCACTGCAAATGTCACTGGTTTGATTTTTCACCTGAAATCGATCCTAATCTTTACATATTTTCTTGCAGCTTGTCACTTTTGAGCTAGCTTGGTTTAGATTAATCGGCACTTTATGGTAGCTCAACATGTTGAAATTTCTAAAGGCGCGATCCTGCAGATGTGAACCAGGGGACACTCTGAGGGGTTCCTTATTTCCTAGAAAGTCAGGCGGGGACAGCAGGATTTCAGAGTCTTTTGTGCCTGAGGCCTTAGTTAACTTAACAGTTCTCTGGAAGCTTCTCTCTTTCTGACCTTCCCGAGTGCCACCTACCCTCGTCCAAAGAAAGAGATATTTCAACCTCTCTATCTTCCTCTGCTTTCTTCATCTCTCTGTCCCACAGTGGAAAACTCTATTGCTTTTACTTGGATTCATGGCTTCTTCCCTTCTCAAGTCTGACACACACACACACACACGCGCGCGCACGTGCACGTGCACGCACACGCACACACACGAGTCTGAATCAGCTGTCCCTCTCTGAGTTCCCACAACACCCATTGATACTTCCCCAGCTCTCATTAAACACCCTGCACTATAATGATCTGTTTCTTATTTCCTTTATTCCCCATGCCAAACATACGCACTACAGATTGTGAAATTTTTAAAGGCAAGTCTCTTCTGTTATAAGAGCATGTGTTTAGCACAAAACAGCGGTTCGATAAGTGTTTGCTAAATGAATGAAATCACAATATAACTGAAATCTAGGGAGTGCTTCCTGTATGTCAGGAGCTGTTCTAGAAGCTTCGAGGATATCAGTTAATGCTCACAGTAATCCCCTGAGAAGGCACCATGATCGCTCCCTTTTACAGCTGGTAACACCAAAGCGGAGAAGTTCTGCAACTTGCCCAAAGTCACAGAGCTACTAAGGAGCAGATCCAGGGTTCAGACCCAGACTCTTCGGGTCCATTGCCCATGCTTTTACACTCACCTCTGCTTCTGAAACAGCCACCTTGCTCCTCATTCTTTTTCTCATTCTCCTTCCCTGACTCCGACCGCCCCCCTCCCCACACCCCACACTGCTATGCAGTCCCAGAGGGGGCTGCTCGGGATGGAACCCACTTCTGTGTAGCATTTTGAGGTGGAAAGAGCACATGAAGACTGCGTCTTGCAGAATGAGCTCACTAAAAGAACTGAGCAATGAGGAGTGCATGAAGATGTGTCTGTCCTTAGAAAACAGAAGCTCTGGAACACACTGGGCTCCGAAGTAAGCACAGCGGAGTTTTAAGCTCACTTTTGTGCACTGACTTCTCCCGAGGTCCTCATTCCTGGAGCAGGACTCCAGGTAGACCACAGTGGGCCGGTGTGGCCTTTGACCCTCTCTCCCACTGTTCACCTACCTTGGCCGATCACTGGTGATACAGGGATTTGTGGATACAATAACAAAGACACACTTAACAAGGACAGAACTGGCCTACCCAATTATGACCATTTTAAAACAGAAACACTTGACTCTGGTCGTTAAATATATAGTGATGATATTTCTTTGTCTTTCAAATCAACAACAGTATTCCATGTCACATATACACATTACCAAGTGTTAGCATCATGCGAAACAATCCCCATATTTTACTTCATTTAGTCCTCACACGATTTCTTCCTAGTTGATGTACCTGTCCTTACGAGGAAATAAAGGCTCAGTGATGCTGAACAACCTGTCTCATGTCAATAACCAGTGAGTAGCAAAGTCAGGCTTCAAAACCCAAAGTTCAGCACCCTGCAGCCTCTCTGTAAGGGAGAGGATGTGCCCATACTTTGAGCCCAGCTGATCTCTGAAAATAATTTCTGCAATGGCCAACCTACAATTTATCTTCATTTTTTCCTGGTGTTCTACAGTGTCACTGCCTATTTATCCCATCATTTTGGAATTACTGGCTAATAGGATGGCCTAACTCACTGTCTGGCTGCTGTTTTCATTCTTTATGAGAAGCCAGCCATTGATAGCAATAGGGATGTGTCTCGACAATATAATTACATCATGACTCTTCTCTCTTCCCCTGTCCCTGGTTGGTCCAGAGGCTAATTCCTATGTCACTTGGTCTTGAAAACGTGAGTGGTTTTGGCAGAGTGGGGAGACTTACCTGTGTTAGAAGTTCTGAGGCATAAAAGGAACAGAGGGCCCTCGAGTTGGGGGAACTCTGCATCTTCTTGGTGGCTGGTACCTTGGTCATCTTAGAAATCCTTCAGGCTTAGCCTTGCCCCCAAGGGAAGGGTTTTTCCAGTCACTGGGGTATAGAGTTTCAACAATTTCACCCTGACTCCCAAGTGCTAATTACACAGGCTCCAAAGAGGTTTCTGACTCAGGAATAATGAAAAGCAAATCATCTGAGTTCTCACCAACAGGATAAAGAAGTCCAGACAGGGTAGATAAAGAAAGCCTGGAATTATTCACATTTTTAGAAAGTTACAAACTTTTATGAGCTTTCCCTCTTTTTAAAACAGAGTATCTTTCTCTCCCATAAACAAAAATAAAATATGAATTAAAAAAATAAAACTCCACTGATAAAATCTGAGGGGGGCTCATGGAGGGGTCTCCAGGTCCCCATTTTAAGGCAGACCCAACTAACGGCTCAGGTTCCCACTGCAAAGGAGAGAAAGGCAGCAAACTGCCAGGCTGGGCTAACTAGGTTGCCTGGCAACGAGACGCCGTAGCGGGCTTCCTCATTGGCTGGGATTGGCAGGGGCGGGGTTGCAAGCTCTCACAGGCTCCTGGGATGATGGCGGGAGCAGGCAGCTGGCCAAGGAGCCACATTCTCCAAACTGTTTTCTCCTCTAAGGCCTGAGGACTTCGACCCTTTCTTTCTGTCTCACTATAACAGACTGTGCTCTGTTTTAAACTCTGCTCTGTCCTGCCACTAACCGACTAGGGATTTCTTGTGTCGGGGTTTGGGTAGCTCAGTGTGTGCCTTCAGTCCCGCAATTACCTTAACCTGAGATGCCTATTTCTTGTCTTTTTCCACCTGACAAACTCCTACTCATCCTTCAAAGCCTACAACACACACACACACACACACACACACACACACACATACACGTATGTATGTGTATGACATTCACTCACCGACTGCTTAGAATGTGCTAGGCACTGCTGTTTTACATATATTAACTCAATCCTCACAAAATGTCTTTAAAAGGAAGGCGTTTTATGACTCCTTTTACAGATTAGGAAACTGAGGCACAGAGGGTTGAATGACATGTTTAAGGTCACACAGAAAGTGCCTGAGCTGGGATTCAAAGCCAGACCTGTTTGATTTCTAAAACCCGAGCCCTTAACCACTTAGCTGCACAACCCAGGATAAGACGCGAAACTTTGCCGAGTCTTGGTTTCCATATCTTTAAAATGGGGAAAACAACCTTACCGCAGGTTGTGGAGGATTAAAACAGATAATGTATGTAAAGGCTGAGCACATGAGGGGTCCCAGTTAAGTGGCAACTATCATTATTTCCTGACACCCCGTCTCCAGGAAGAATTACTCATCTTTACAGTGCAGTGTTCATTCCACAGTGGATATTAATACTAATATTTATTGATCACTCGCTCTATGCAAGGTGCTCTACTAAGCACTTCACATATATTAATTTATTTAATCCTTCCAAATACCCTGTGGGGTCGGTTGCCAGCTTGCAGAAGATTTATTGCACATGCTCTGATTTGCATGCTTTATCCTTGGCATTCTTTCGCACTGGATCAATCTGACTCATGTTTTATCTCTAACTACTGAGGATTATGAGGTCAGCATGGCCACACAATGACCTTACTTTCTCTTTAGAAGGTGCCTGCTGCCAGATGACCCTCCACAGAATACAAAATGCCTCTCCCCACAGCTCCAGATGCTGATGCTTGAAAGTCATTGTCTTCTTGCCATCATCTGAAGACTGAGTCTGACCTTCCCTTTCACAGAAGTTTTGGTCCTTCTGCTTCCTTTGTGGGCAGCATTAGCAATCAGCGAGCGCTTTCAGAAGGATGCAGGTAAACTGAATCACGTTGAGAAGATGGGGCTGGGGACAAGAGAGAATTAAAAAAAAAAAAACAAAAAAAACAAGACAGAATGGGAAATGTTTAGCCCTGAGTGGCACAAAGGGCTGTTGTTCACATGGCTTTCAGAGACAGGCTGGGAGAAGAAGGACTCAACTAGTTCTGTATGAACCCAAAGAATAGAACGAGGGTTTTGGCTCAATATGAGGAGATCCACAGCAAAGCACTGTTTTAAAAGTCATGGGCTCTGGGGTCACACTGACTTGGCCACTGAGAAGCCTCAATGATAATCTCGTAGGACTATCGTGAAAACCAAATGGATAGTCCGTGTGAAGCACAATGCCTAGCAAAAAAGGAAGTGCTCAGTAAATGTTAATGCTTATTTCTTTTGTTGTTAATACCCACCTGTCAGAGCCACGTGAGAACTGGAAGTAGAAAGAGCTCTGGAATCGAAAAAACCTGTGTTCAGATCCTGACTCTGCCATTTACTATTTACTGGTAAACGAGGTCTTGGTGAAGTCACTTCACCTCTTCAAGCCTCATTTTCATCACGTATATAAATAGTGATGGTTATGCTCACCTCATACAGTTGGGATGCCTAGATGAAATGATGAATGAATAGAGCCCAGCACCCAGTAAGGACTCAAGGCATGCTATTTCTCTTTTCTGTTCATGAAGGGGCACATTTCATTGGGAGAGAATGAGTTACCCAGCACTAGAGGTGTTCAATCAAATAAGATCACATTCTGAGGTACTGGGGGTGAAGACTTCAACAAGCTAATAGCACATACACAGTGTTGGATGGATGTTGCTGTTTTTCTCTCAAAATTTAAAAATATCCCTATCTTCCCCTATGAATTTTCTGTGGCATCATAGGGTACCTCGGTGCACACTTTGGGAACTACAAGGCTATAGGAATGTGTTCTGGCTTTGAGCTGATCAGCCTGGATGGGCAAAGAAGTTAAAACTCACAAGAGTAGACGCGAAGTAATGACTAATAGGACCCCTCAAGGAAGACACGTTTTATATTCCCCAGAGGTCCCCTTCAGACTGAGGTAGGGGCGACCCTGTGGCCTGCTCACCAATGATGCAGCATCAGCTTCTTCCCTTTCCCTGTTTTGCTTCCCCACACCCCTTCTGGTTCTGCTTGGTTGGCCTCCCACATAAACAAACCACTTCTACCCAAACTCTTGTCCCTGGGTCTGCTTCTGGGGAACACAACCTGGGTCATTGTGTACTGGGATAACCAGGGAGGTCAGACCTGGGTCGGGCCCTGAGGTTCCCCCTTCCCTCATCTCGTTGCATGGATTTACTACCTTCTTTGATCACCTTTCCTCATAATCACCATCTTACCATTGCTCCCACGAATCTTTCAAAGAATTTCTTGATATTCTCCACGTTTCTTAAACAGTGAAAGGCCAACATGTTTTTAGAGAGGCAAACACATCCCCCAACAGCGAAATATTTGACAACTAAGATATGAAGTGATTGTTTAATTCTTAATTCCCGGTTGATTTATGCAAAATATAAACTGAAAGACACGAAGTGACAGGCATTCTCTCCTCCCAATTTGCCAAAAAGAAAAGCATCCGAAGACATTAGAAATAGATGTATCATGTAGAAGAAAAATTTTGGAATGTGTCGGACACCAGCTGGGGTAGCCAAAGTGAAATCTCAAAATCTGCTAAACACTCGAATTTCAGTCAGTAATACATATGTTTGGCATTAAAAACCTATTGGAAAAGTCATCATTTTTGAGTATCTTTAAAATACTCTTCTGTGTTGCATCTAGCACCCGGAGAACTCCTTCTGGGTATTTTTACTGAAATGTCAGCACTTGGCCCAGGCCAAGAGTAAAACTTGGGGCTCCCCTGACACTTGGTAGCTGGCAGTCTATTGATAAATTGCTGCTGGATGAAATAACTTTGGATCATGTGTATTTGCACCATCTCCACGGATTCCTGTATCTTGTCAGATTAAAGAAGAATGACTGCTTGCTACTATGCCTCTTGGGGGCGCTGTGGCCCCGTATCCCATTTCTACCCCATCCTCCAAACCACACCCCAAGAGTGGGGAGGTTCATTTGGATCTTTGCAAACAAAGAGAAGAAAATGTAATGTCGACCTCCTTCTCCTTCTCTCTTTGCTTTGGTACACCAGGCCCCGTAGCAGAGAAAGGACTGGGGCCTCCAGGAATATTCCTAGCGAATTTTCCCCACTGGAAATCTAGGACGTGGCCCAAGCTATCTCCATGGGCAATGCTCTCTGCTTTTATGTGCTTCATCTCACAGCAGGCTTGGCTGCAGGACAGATGGGAATTACAGAATTATTAATCCCATTTTACAAAGGTAGAAATGGAAGCTCTTGGAGTATAGTTCTGTGTTAGTGGTGGAGGTTGCCTGAGAACCCAGGTTTTATGATTCCAGATTCAGGGATTTATTTCAGCACTCTGTCAAACTGCCTCGATGGTCTTTCACTTAAAGGTAGAGGGGTGTGTGTGGGGTGTGTGTGTGTGTGTGTGTGTGTGTGTTTCAGTTCAGCAGCAAACCTTGCCAAGAGAATTGGGATTTTCAAGCCACCTGAGAGACTTTGTCTTCTCTACCCTTTGGGGGAGCCTTTACTGTAACATCCACATAAGACATCTCAAACCTCCATCCCAGGTAGGAAAGTACTTCCCTGCCAGATATTCCTATGGATTTCCAAGTAGCTCACAATTTCTTGTTCAGTACACACTTTAGCCTGCTCCTTACCTGTGTGGGTAGAACTGTGACATGCCACCCCCCCCAAAAAAAATATATATGCTCAAATCCTCAACCCCTGTGCCTGTGAATGTGACCTTATTTGGGAGAAGAGTCTTTGCAGATATAATCAAGTTACAACGAAGTTATACCAGATTAGGATGTGTCCTCATCTCATGACCTCTGTCCCTATAAGAGTGAAATTTGGAAATAGAGACAGAAGACATCCAAGGAGAATGCCATGTGACAACAGAGGCAGGGATTGGGGTGATGCATCTACATGCCAAGGAACACCACGGACAGCCAGCAGCAGCCAGAAGCTGGGACAAGGCAAGGAAGGAGCCTCTCTTCAGAGCCTTCAGAGAGAGTATGGCCTTGTCAATGCCGGGATTGTGGACTTCTGGCCCCAACTGTAAGGGAATAAATTTCAGTTGTCTTAATCCCTGCAGTGGGTGGTA